AGTGACAGATTTTAATAATTATTCAAGGAGTTTGCAAATGTGATATTGATTTAACACAACAGTTCAATAAACAAGTACTTCCTGATTTTGCTCTATTTCATCAATGAAAATAGTTCCAAATATAGTAACAGCACAGCGCATCTCTAAAAGCAAACACAGCGGTTTTTCATTCATGAATGAAAGTGCGTTTTTGAACAAATCTAGTGAGTCAGTGATTCATGATTACCCATTCATAAAGACAGTCACTTGCTTCATTCCCGAGTGAATTAGCCGTTCAAACGAATCAATTGAATGAATGATTCAGTGATAAAATCAGTAATTTTCCACCACCTGCTGGCGGTTTCAGTTTCATTTTTAGGTATAATTGCAGTTATTTAAATCATTTAATATTTCTGTATTCAAAATTTTACATTTAAAACGTTAATCTCCACATGAATTTAATTGCACTCATGCCACCGCCGAGCCTCATTGAATGTCTGAAAATGTACCTACAAGCCACTTTTGTGTTCTTCTGTGCCACCTCTCTAGTACAAATTAATTTTTCATTAATACTAATTTCATGATTGGTAACTTATTTGTCTTATTCTACTTATTATATTGTTTTAAATAGAAATTTTAAAAAGCTTATAAACATAAATTTTTGAATTTTACAGATGAAAATGATGCCATTGCAAAGGTAAAAAGAAAATGCCCCTGTAAATCACTTCACCTCATATTAGGAAGGCTAATTCCTCTGTAGTACAAATACATTTTTTATTAATACTAATTTCATGATTGGTAACTTATTTGTCTTATTCTACTTCTTATTATACTGTTTTAAATAGAAATTTTAAAAAGCTTATAAACATACATTTTTGAATTTGACAGATGAAAATGATGCCATTGCAAAGGTAAAAAGAAAGTGCCCCTGTAAATCACTTCACCTCATATTAGGAAGGCTAATTTATTATCAAAATTTTTGATTATTGATCAGAAGGTGCTGTGACCGGTATGGCTGAGGAATGGGGTTTGGCCAATGAAAAATTCAGTCAAAAGATTTTTTTTTTGCTTTAACC